ATACCAGACTTCTGCGTCCAGTCCATCCCAGTTCCCTTCTCGCCATTAATCCATCTAAATGGGGGGCGTCCTACTTTCCACTTTAAGACTAATTTATTCTAATGGTCATTGGTCCTTCGGCAGACGGGACCAGCCCATTCGCTTATTTTATTGCTATTTGTATACGTACCGGTACACAAAAATGAACTTGTGTGGATAAGTCAATTACATAAATACCTATTTAATTATTTAACTTGCCTTACTGAATTGTAAAGTTTTAAAGTATTACTTCGTGACTTAATAAATAAAGAACTATTTATTATTTTAAAAATGAATTTGAATTCGATTTAAAAAAGAAGACTGATTGAGAAAATACATGTTCAAATAGCAAAAAAAATTACGATACGAAAACACCGGAATAGACAGGCGTGATATCATTTCCGAAAGTAAACATGTATAAACCGTCATTAAATTGCTTTCTTATCCCAATTCATCACATCTTCAGACCATACTTTGGGATAATGAAGAGAATCAAAGGGAATGGAGCCGTTGAGCCGCGAAATGAGACGACATCACGAAATGATAGGCGTTTGGAGTGATCCCTTTCGACGTTTTTGTTTTGAGTAATACAAGTTTATCTAGTTGAAGGAACTTGTTGGTAAATGTTTTATGGCTCACTCCTTTCATATTGGTAAGATGGGATTTGGATACATAGATACAGAGATCAAAGTCTTTATTCGTAAACCATTTCATACACTTACTCATTGCTTCACAAAACCGAATAATCAGTTTGTCGGTGGAAGTATATTGCACTTGGAGGTGGGGTCTACTGCTGGAAACAGGCCTCACCATAGAAGGAAGGTTTTTGTCTTCTATACCAAGCTGGCCAGACGGGCTTTTATATGGCTTATTGAAAATGTTCCTTCTCTTTACGGTGCTGTTGTCCTACGTAGTTTGCTCTGTTAGTCGGCTCTCACGTCACCCACGGGATGAATAGGGGTGGAGACACTCCGTATTCCTAATCCGTCACCACAAGGATAGGTAGGTACTCTGTATTCTGGTATTCTATGTTAAGCTTAATAGCCATACAACATGGCTAGTATTGCATTTGTTACAACTATTTTGAAATGATTTTAGAATAATAGTCCAACATAACCGCGGAACAGCCATACTTCTGCACATAAAGGACACCTGACCTGATTGATTTTCTTTTAGGGTATCGTGAGGTAAACAAGCAAACAGGTCACCTGTATACAGTTATATCCTGTGGTCCACCTGCTGATTTGCCTCTTATGCCAAAGTGTGTTAAATAAATTTAAAGAACGACCGCTGCTTGTTTAAAAACTTAATCAACTGACTCACTTGGAATCATTTTAATTAAACTACCATCTGAGTTAGATACTTCTCCACTCGGTCGGTTACAATACATTATAAATGTGATCTAGGTTCAGACAACTTTTGCTTAAAAGTTTGATGACAAGGCTTTGCTATTAGTAGCAGTAGTTAGTTTCAGATATTTATTTCACCTATCGCTTCTTCTGTCACGAGTAAAAGAGAATAATAATACATTTAACACGCGGCAGTCTGATAATAAACATACATTTTTATATTTTTAAATACATACATAATTATAGATAAATTGCAGCCAGACACAGAACATATGACTGTGCTCATGACACAATTATTTGTTATGGGTGGAAGTCGAACCCACGATCTCCAGCTTGGCAACTGGCCAATTGCAAGGAATAGAACGAATAGAACGATGGGTTACAGAAAAACGCAGCTCATACGCGTATTCTTTAAAAATATAGTCTTGTAGTATCTTGATTCGTTAAATCGAGGCCTCCTGAAATTGTAACATAAACTATGATTTTAAGTATTTTATTTACGGTTAAACTATAGTTTTTGCGAAAAGTGTCACGAAACCTTACTTGGAGTTGAGTCCAACACAGCACAACATGAATAGCTTTATTTTATAGGTTATTTCGTAACATTGCAACTTCACTCTGCGCTCTTCATTGTTTCGTTGCTATATTAAATTATGTGACAATATTTCTTATGACATAATTCGGAACACTCATTGATCCATGTTTTTTTATAGTACCTTTTAAAACAAAATGAGTGACCCCATTTTATCGCCATGACAAGATTCAACTGTTTTTTTTTTTTTTTTTTTATTTATTAATAAGTACTACCACATCATACATATTATACTTATAACTAGTTTTGACAATACGTGGCATTATACCTGATATGTATGACAATTAAGGTGTACATAGCATTTACTGTAATGTAGTAGTGTAAAAAGTAGTAAACTAATTACAATCAAACGAGAAAAAAAAAACTAACTAAAGAAGAGGATACTTAATAATAATAATAAACTGTTTGAATTAATACTACTCTAAATCTATTTTATATCTTATTCACATTTGTTTGAGGTTAAGGTAGACGGACACAAAACATTTGTTATTTTAGTTTTAAATTCATTATACGATTGGCGAAAGATGTCAATGTCAGGATCACGAGTTTGGATACTATTATATTGGTTAAGGACTCTATTTATTGGTGAATTTTGGCCTAAATTAGTTCTTGAAAATTGTGTGTGGAATATTTTAGTTATTCTATGTCTGGGATAAGAGTGAGGAACCTTCACTGATATTTTTTCTAATAAATAATTGTACTGTATATTATTATTAATTAATTTATGAAGAAAACAAAGGTCAAAAATGCGTCTGCGATTAGAAAGAGTGGTCATGTTAAACTTGGATAGCCGTGTGTCATACGGGCTCCTATGAGAAAAACCACTGCAAGAGTAGGCAAGGTTTCTGGTAAAGGCTCTTTGAATGCTTTCAATTCTTTGGGAATGAACAGCGTACCATGGTGACCATGCAGTACTCGCAAATTCGAGAATGCTGCGGACAAGAGCATTGTACAGAAGTAATTTGGTATCTAGTTTTTTAAAATCTGAGCTATTTCTCCTCAAAAAACCAAGCATTTGTGCTGCCTTAGTTACAGTTTTGTCAATATGCGATGTAAAAGTCAGCCCTGTATCGATGATAACGCCCAAATCACGAATCTCATTGACCTCTGCTAAATAAACCCCGCCAACCTCATATTAAAAGAAGGGAACTCCCGCACTAGGAATAGGTATATCCTGTGCCGTAGGGGTCTTCACAAACGTACATGAAACAGACACAAAGAACACTCAGACTCAGAACACCAATTTGGGAATCACACAAAGTGTTGTCCAATCTGCCAATGTGGGCATCGAACCCATAACACTCTGCGCAGTAGGCGACAAGGTGACCGTTAACCTATCAACCGTTAACTTATCATTACTATTATAAAAGACGAAGATGATTGCAAGATTCTTAGAGTTCCTATATGATTATAGGAACTTACAATCTACATATACATAATATACGATGCATACTGTCATCATATATTATACGTTAGTTGGGTTACCAACATGCTCGACCTAATTTGAACTCATACGTCCCAACATGTCAGTGCGTCACCTATGCGTGACAACATTAAGAGCGAAGGGTTTTTTTATACAGCACAATCTTTTATTCATTATATTGGCAGTCTTGTCATATCGCTATCGCAGTTATTTGTTCTGTCGGCTTCTGAGATAGCGTCAACATTGTGTTGTTGTTTTATGAACCACCCTATGACATAGGTAGGCTCGTATCTTATGACAACAGCCCGTGTAATATTATTGCAAATTATACTACTAGTGTAAATGTATTTAATGAAAATGAACAAAAACTAGGCAGAGTATTTACTGTGGTAACCAGATCGCTGATAACCATACCTATTTATTTTTAGATACATACTTAATACAGATAAATTAAACACAAAGACAGAACAAATAATCGTGTTGATGATAAAATCATTCCTGTCCTGGATGGGAATCGAGTCCGCGGCCTCTGTCAACAACTCAGTAGTCATCATCAGCAGACCAACAGGCAAGTCAAATAAATAATATATCATTGTTTTATTCCAATTCAATACAAACAGAGTCATTCAAATTTGACCAATAGTTCAAGAGATTGTTACGTTTAAATAAATAAAGAAACTAAAAATTAAATTATATTAGTATAAATACTAAAGCTCGTGTCGTAATATAGGTATGTAATATTATGGAAAAAGTTTATTTAAGGAGCTACATCAAGAAATATATGTGTTGCAGTATAAAGCCGCCTGGTGAGCTCTAGTACACATAAAACGCTTAAATACAGTTTCGCCGAGTAAAATCCCTTTTTATTTTGCCTTTGATACAAGAATATATTTTATTCCCTAACCCGAGTGCAAAGTCCAAAACTACATTTCGTATTCCTGGTAATTTCCGTCATTTTCTCGCTGTTTACTGGTCCTATCCGGTTCCAAGTGGTATGAACTGGTTAAACGTTCGTCGTCTGTGTGGATATCTAGATAAATCCGGTTTTGCGGTCTTTTCAACCAACCGACAGGCACGCGCCTTAATAAACGTTAACCCTTTGTTGAATAGCAAATACAAAATGCGATATTTGGGTCTTTAAACTTCCAACCAAATAAATGTGGGTTATATACTAGAACGTAGCAGGTTAATTTTATGAATTTTATATTTAGCAAACACAAAGTTTTCGGAAAGAAGAGCTATTTCTTAGCATTCCATGGATTCACCGTACGAGTGCCGGGTCCATTGTGTGGTGCTCCATATGTGGGGCAACACATGCGTCTTCGACAGTGCATAGGAATTGCGAATAAATAAAACGAAAATATGAAATTTCGCATATATTTTCATATCATAATAATACATTTAAAATTTCCAAAATTTTATAGTAATTGACACATCGACGGCGGAATAGTTGAGGCGTTCAAATGCACCGAAGTAGGTCTGAGTTCGCTTCCCAATTCGTCCTTGTGATTTTTGATTATTAGTAATTGACAGCGATGGAATATCTGTTCCATAACATATGAGCTGACTAAGCGTATTTTTATTATTTATATGGAAGACTCAACAGCTCAGATCCAAGCTAATGACAATAGTGATCATGTTTAATAAAATCAGCAGCTTTCTCCCCAATCATAGTAACAGGACCATTGATATCCCCTCTTGTAATTGTAGGCATTATACTAGCGTCTGCTACTCTTAAACGCTGTACTCCATACACTTTCAATTTACTGTCAACCACACTACCCATGGCACAAGTACCAGTAAAATGACTCATGCCATTAAACATACAAGAAGCGTAAGCTTTCCAGTATTCGTCACTACCTTCTCTGTAATCTGCACATCTGCCTGATGTTGTATCAATGAATTCAGCTCCAATTTCCCTAAAATGAGTAGTGTTTATAATGGGAACAAAATCTTTTATATATGCTACTAAATCTTCTAAATCGTCTTCGTTTGAAAAATATTTCGTGGTAATTCCTGGTGGTTCCAGTGGATCTGAACTCTTTAGATAAACTTCCCCTACCGTTTTAGGACTGAGATGTAGAATTTCACTAAACAAACCCATTTTCCCTATCATTTGCAAGGAGGTACTATCACAAATATCGTGTTCCATTCTATATCCAAAATTACAATAAAACAACACTAGGTTGGGGTACCCAGCATATAAACGTGTTTCGTAATCTGGGTAATTTTGACATTTGTTTAAAGCGGTGTATCCTATTACAGGTTCAGAAATATATTCGTTTGGATTGAATCCTTCGAATTCTGTTTTTTCCATAGCATAAGGTATAATAACACTAACATGATCTTGCAAATTTTGTCCAACTGGAAGATCCGATATCACATTAATTTTCTTAGATGTTAATTGCTCTTTTGGTCCTATTCCTGATAACATAAGTAGTTTGGGGGAATTAAATGCACCTGCTGTTATTATTACTTCTTTTTTAGCTTCAACTGTTATTGTTTTACCCTTTTCGTTAATTAAATCTACTCCAACAGCATTCTTGTATTCGTCGAAGTTTATTTTTGTTACTAATGCATTCTTTAAAACGTGAAGGTTAAAACGGTTCTTGATTGGTGTTATATAGGCTGAAGCACTACTTGTCCTCTTTCCTTCAACTATATTTAATAACATTTTAGAATATCCAAGTTTATCAACGGGATCGTTACGAATATGGTGACCTAAACTTTCAAAGCTTTCTAAAATATCGTTTACATAATTACGTTTATCCTTAGCTAGCCCAACATTTCCATCAAAGCCATGATTTGATCTGTCTTTTGAATCAAAAATAGTAGGGTCTTCAACTCTTTCGCTCTTGATAAAATAAGGAAGTACATTTTCCCATTCCCAAGTAGAGTCTTTAGTTATGTTTGCCCATGAATCAAAATCTGTAGGGTGCCCTCTTGAATATACCATGAAGTTTAATCCACTTGTTCCTCCTAACATTTTTCCAGCACTAATTTCTACGTATGGATCTTGATGACATTTTTTGATCTTGGTATCATAATCTGATGTAAAGTTCCAATCATAACGGGATTGTTTTAAGAAAAAAGGAGTCGCTGGAATCTGTAAAAATAATAATAAATTTGTGACTGTTTCCTCATAATTATATTTCTTTTTCAAATAGGTATAATGTTTGTGAAAATGCTTTTGAGCTAAGGTTTCCGATCCACTTTTCGAAAAGTGCCATATAATATATATACTTCAATTAGGATGTCATCAACATAACACGGAACACTGTGAAAAGTTTTGCCGATCCAATAGGACTAAACAGGCGTGATGTTTATGTTACGTTATGTATGTACGCCATTACTAAAGAAAGCAATGCTAAAATTGTTTATACGTATATTTTCTTTATTTCACTATATTTCACTCTTTATGATTAGAATATAAAAACGACCTGTCTCAGATGTTTTACGAGAACCCCGTTTCATCAAAAATCAGTACAAAATTTTCTTACGCATTTCATACTCACAGTGGATTCCAGTGGAGGATCGCCGCCAGCTTCTATCAGCAGTACACTAACCCTGCTATTTTCTGTAAGCCTATTTGCGATTACACATCCAGCTGTACCAGCACCAACAATAATAAAATCAAATGTGTCACCATCTGAAATTGTGACATAAAAAGTATTTTTATTACGTTACTGTAACTTTATAATGGTCACCTACATAAAATAGAAAGGTCAGTTAGGTTACTATTAAGTTACTCAGTAATTTCGTTATTAACACTGCTGAAAGAAGTCTTAATGGAAAAAAATGGGACGTAAAAGAGACTTTAATTTCACGTTTCACTGTTAGCGTTTAGATTTTGCCTTTTTTATGCCATAGGCAAACGAGCATGCAGTGATCTCCTTTTCGAAGTGGTCTCTTTCTGTGAATGTGAATGCTCCAAAAAGAGATGCTGAAAGCGATCAGGAGAGGGCCGATATCCGGGGGGGCCAGAAATAATATGTTCTGGGTATTCCTCGGAGTAGTGCGCCTGAGACCGACCGTCGGGGTGATTTTTAGTGTCGTTATTATTAACTCTTAGGTACCTACTCAAGTTTCAACATTTCCAATCGATAGTAGGCGATTTTAGGAGTCTACCAAACCGCCATAATTACAACTGGCTACATACTTAAATAAATAAAAATCACTTTGTATGCAGTTAAGTACCGATTAAATTATAAAATAATCGAGTATAACAGACCAGAACGGTTAGCTATGTACATGGAAATTCAGGAAATAGTCATGTATTAAGACATCTTGTTTACCGATTTCACAGAAATGTTCCATTACAAAGACTAATGTACGATATTCTTTCTGTAATCTTTTAGGTATTATTTAATCATTAATTTTAAGTCTGTAATTAGTAGTCCTTGTACGAAAGAAAATAACGACGTACTCCTGGATATCCGAAGGGATTTTCCACCCCAACAACAAAAAAAAGGAGGCAAACGATCAAACGGCATTTGTTGGTAAGTGACTACCGTGTACCAGTGTACCGTGTATCAGTACTAAGTGACACCTGCGACTCAAAATTCACAAATGCGTTGGCGCCCTGTAAGTACCATTCCCCAGAACACACTTAATAACATTGAAAGAATCGATCAACACCAGTTTTAGTAAGTGGTGGTATAATAATAATAACTGACTGATCCCAAACTAGGCAGAACGTGTACTATCGTAACCAGACTGCTGATAAACATACATATTTGTAATTCTAAATACATATACACTATAGGTAAATTATACACAGACACAGAAAAATGATCGTATGCTCATCACACAATTATTTGTCCTTGGTGGGAATCAAACCCACGTCCTCCGGCTTAGCAGTCAAGGTCACTAACCACTAAGACCAACAGCCCTTTTAGGCCCGGCAGGTATAACTCCGATCGATCCATTTGCGCTAAAACATGGTTCTCCCACTATTAGTGCTTTTAGCGCTATTAATAATATAATAATAATAATATAATTTATTTCAGAAAACGTTCCATTTACAAAAACAATAATTCATTATATCATATCATCAATTATCAGTATTATTATATTAGTATGTATTACTATAGCATATACCTATACGATAAATGATATACAATTGTAATAATAACTTTAGTTCCTTAGAATCAACGCTTTAGTAAAAAAAAAACAACTTTAACATTTGAAATGAATTTATTAAGTTTGTTTCTTAGAAAAACTCTGAAATCACTTTAATAAATAGGTATGTATGTATAAGGTTATTGTAGTCGTAGGATGAATAAGCCTTCAAGGTCGTTAGGCCTCAGTAATTTTCCTCATTTTGTACTAGGTATGTCTTTGTATGAGTTCATATTAAAATCAGTCTCAGTAATTAAATGGTAACGACGCCGACGCGTAAAATTAGCAACAGTAAGATGCCAAGAAATACGAGTAAAACTGAAATTGTTTGTACTGCATATTTGTAAAACGTGTTCGTAAGTAACTGCAGTCAAAACGTGGCTTAGAAACCAATCAACTTTTGCAAAAAAATATTGTATTCATAAGAATTGAATTGTTCGTTACAAATTTATTACTTTTCAATGTTAATATCTATAAAAATATGATGAGTGATTTAACGGTTGAAATGTGTTAGCAGTTCGCTCGCGTTTTTGTTGAAGCAGTCTATTAGTCTTTCAGACTATAATCCATCTAAATTTTATCCAGATCGATGTAGCTGTTCTGGCGAGTATGGGTAACACAGACCTATTAAACCTTTAATATTTTTTATTAAAAGACAACGCCCGCATTAGGAATAAATATCCTGTGTTGCGGGGTTCTTTACAAACATACATGAAATGGACACAAAGAATACCCAAACTCAGAACAACAATTTGTGGATCAACACAAAGTGGTGTCCCATACAGGATCGAAACCACAACACTCAGCGCAGTAGGAAGCGGCGTTGTTACCGCTTAAACCACTTCGCCACCATCCAATATTAATAATATATATATATCAATAAAAGAGAAATAAAAACTTCTATTATTTAAAAAAAGGCATGATAGATGGTCGAATCACTACTAAACAACAAAGAAGTATATTTGTCACACTATGTTATTGAATCTGAAAACTTTCTTACCGTAAACAACAGCTTGCTTCGGATACATATATTCAGTGAACTGCATCAAGGACAGATAGCTGAACCCTAATTGCACCAACTTAATTTTCTCCACGATATTAGCGGAATACATGATTTCGGGTTCCTTATTCTGGCCTGTAATGAAATTTCAAAGTAAATTCAGACATAACATGACCTATTGCTTGTCAAATCCCCTAACCATTTACGCAGTTTCATCATCATCAACAGCTTTTAATAGCCCACTGCTAAGCCTCTTCTTAGAAAGGAGGTTTTAGCCTACTGTACCAAGCTGGCCAGACGGGTTGTAATACGCTTTGTTTCAAGTTTTCCTTCTCTTTGTAGTGCTGTTGTCCTGCGTAGTTGATCCCTTGGTCGCCTCTTACGACACCACGGGATGAATAGGGGTGGTGACACTCCGCTCCCTAATCCATCACTACACGGACAGTAGCAGTCCAACAGATGAATCTGCGTTTGTGGTCACAGTTTTACGGCTTTTTTTTTCGTGCAGCAATCTGTGGTGTAGTCATGTGGGGGTGCAGGGTGGTTTTGTCGGACTTTAAGTGACTAAAACCGCTTCTTAGACTAAAACATCAAGCATACAGGCTTGGATACCAGTAGCCGGGAAACTTCGAAAGTTAATCTCTGGTATCTTGACGGACTCCAGGCCAACGACGACTTACAGATAACCCACAGTTTTACCCCCAAGAGTCGTACCATGACATACATAGCAGATAAACTACCTAAATGAAAAAAACTATTCTTTTTAATACACCAAAAGAATTTAAGTCTTGCTAATAGATCCAGAAATTAGCTTATTTGAATTAGTATGTAAACACCAACACACCACCACTTAAAAACCATTATGTAAATTGTACAACAAAGACAAAAACACCAACAGTTATATTAATATACATTTGGGAAAACTTGCGTACCGTATATACACATCACCCTTGCCGATTACGGCTACGGTGTCTGTTTATAGGAGGGCTAGGATGATTAGCCGTGTCATGGGTTCTATTATACCTAGACTTAAGCAAATAAAAATAAAATTTATTGAAAAAAATATTGTCAAGTTCTTCGAATAATAATTTTATTCAAGCAAAAGTCATTATTTTATATCAAAACATTGTTATATCCTCTGACAACACAGCGTAGTATAGACGTTCCTATTTTTTCTTGAATTAATATAACTGTTTTACCGTATCTTTATCTAGATCTAAAAACTTATGATATTTAACAAACTTGTTTATGTGCTGAGGCCATTTTAAATTATAGTTACACAACATTCTTGGAGCTTTTAGTAAGTGACTTCATCAATCATCATCAACAGCCTTTATTAGTCCACTGCTGGACATAGGCCTCTCCTTGGGAAGGAGGTTTTGGCCTACTTTAAGTGACTAATAAATCTATTTTAATTCAGCTTATAACAAAATGTAATCTCTGAATTTAGCTTTATATATAAAACTAGCTGCCGGGCAAACGTTGTTTTGCCATATACATTATTTCTAGAAAATATTGAAAAAAAATTTTTGGGGTGGGTCACCCTTGTCATTTAAGGTTATGAAAAATAGATGGTGGCCGATTCTCAGACCTACCCGATGTGAACACAAAATTTCATAAAAATCGGTCCAACCGTTTCGGAGGCGTTTGGTAACACACGCGTCACGAGAATTTTAAATATTAGACTAGCTGACCCGGCAAACGATGTTTTGCAAAAAAAAAATATCTAGAGGTGGGTCACCCTTATCATTTAGGGGTATGAAAAATAGATGTTGGCCGATTCTCAGACCTAACCGAAGTGAACACAAAATTTCATAAAAATCGGTCCAACCGTTTCGGAGGAGTTTGGTAACAAACACCGTGACACGAGAATTTTATATATTAGATAATAAAATACATACCATACAATAATAGATGAAAATTAAATAAGACTTTTGAGTACCAACAAAGCGTCTTCAAACATTCAAGTATAACTTCAGAATATATTATTGTTGACACGTAATTACCTGAAAAGGAAGAGCGGGGATTATTATAAATGTAATTGTTTCTCATTGGTTTAAGTTGTGTCGTTTGTAGAAACTAGATCGCTATTGGTCAATTAGTAATTTAGTGTTTGTTGACCCCAAAAGGCTACTTACATATGTTTTAAGAACTATTATATCAACTTTTTGTTAAGTTTTTTTTGCCGCTTTTTATATGTAAGATTGAGGTACAATTTTTACATATTTCTAAGAATAATGTATATTTAATTATTATTAAAATTTATGCACAGATTTCGATGTGTTAATTAAATAATACTTTATACCCGTGATTTTACACAGGATAACAGGATACCAGGGGACCTCTGGTAGCAGATTGATTGCTGCGGTAGGGGATAGAATGGCGGCCTGATTGCATTAAGATGCAATCGGGACGCCACGCCGCGATTGAGCGGGGAAGTGTTTTCCACTGGTATAGGGCTTGATTAAGCATGGTGTCAATTCGGGGAGGACCTGAAATAACATGGTCCGGGTCATCCCAGTGTAGGACATCTAAGGCCGGCCGTCAGGATGGTTTTTAGTGTAATCACCACATACTCCTGGCTCCTGAGTCCCCGAGGAGCAGGAGATCCGAAGGAATTTTCACTCCGTCAAAAAAAACTTTATTTTTGGAAATTCCACTGCGAAGGGGGTAACTTAGCTGCGTCGGGGTGCCAGGGATTTCCTTTCTAGGGTACACCTGGTTCCCAGGCTACTGTTACCTGACTAGGCGTGCGGTTTTCGGTCGGTTCGAGTCCAACATAAACACTCCACCGGTGGGTGGTATCGGAGGGGACATCCTCACAGAGAAAATAGAAAAAAAAGGGGTAACTTAGCGGTGAAATCTCCACAAAATCTCTTCTTAGTGAGTGTTTACGATATAAAAATCATCAGCTGTCAAAATTTTAAGTTGGTAGTCCCACCGGTTTAGACTCTGCATTGATGAACTAGTCAGGGAGGGCCAGTAATTTTGTATGTATGGATTAATACAATAATACCAATAAGAAAACATAATAAAATAAAATAAAATAAAAAAGCCATTTATTCTACTACTAAATTATCTTACAATACTTGATGAGAATCTAATTAGTAATGCATTGTACATACAAAGTAATTTGCTTATTCTAAATATTAAATAACATTGCAGTAAATTTGATAATAACCAGTAAATGATGCTAAATATTAACTAATCTTTCAATAAATAATATAATCATTAATTAATTGTGGTAGGTGAAATAAAAATAACATTGTAATGAATTGAAAATAATTTATTAATTGTGCTAAATAATAAATAACATTTAGTGGTATATTTCATCATCACTATAAATAATATATATCTTATTTGATTTTTAAAAACCTTAGAATATTTTTTAAAAATTAGTTCATTCTGTATCAAATCATTTTAAACATTAATTCTATGTGTAACATTGCATGCATGTATATAAATTAATATTATTTTATCCATATTATTTTAAATTTTTATTTACAAATTTTGACTAAGTAGTAGTCGCCTCCTTGGCGTAGGCCTCCCCCATTTCCTTCCAGTACTGCCTGTCTCTGGCTTTGGTCATCCAGGTAGGTCCTTGTCTTTCTAGGAATACATCTGCCCAACGTTTCCTTTTTCTTCCTTGTGATCTTTTCCCGTTTCTAGGGATCAATAAGAAAACATAGATCAATATAAATAGGTTTGGCAATTTTGTTTTTGCCTTTAATTAATTCAATGTTAATGTCGCATCATCATCATTTAGGGTATAAATTTAATATTACTATCAACCGTATTATGTGCGAAATGATTTGTAATCACTGGGTGCTATTTGCAAACAATTAGATGATAATCATTTTATAAATACAGAACTACGTCAATTCGTCACATAAGATTAATTAATTATGAGTTCTAAATTTCACTTACAATTTTATCCCCTAAACCGCTGGGTTTAAAATTTTTTTAAGTGAAATTGTCATGTCATTAATTGGTAGATAGCACTTTGGACTAACCAATCCGTATGGCCAGCGTGGTATAGTAGGAAAAAACCTCATTTCTAAAGGAAGACCTGTGTGCAGCAGTATACTAAGGCTGATGATGATGATGACCTTGGACAAGACATGAGTATATAGTCACCTTTTAGTCCTGAAACATGAAGAAATGAAATTGAGGATTAAAATTTGAAGCCAAGCACCAACTGGTATTAAAATACAGAATCCGAAGCCAATCTTCAGAGCTCATTCAATAATTTGATATGGTTGCCAATAAAAGATTAGATTTCACGTAAGGTCTAAGTTCCACAACAAATATCACGTCACACTAATGTTATAAAGGCGAAAGTTTATGAGTTTATTACTTCTTAACGCTTAAACGGTTGAACCAAATTTGATAAAATTTGGTATGGAAGGAACTAACAATCTGGATTTAAAAAAAAGTATTCCTGTGGGATGGGCAATGAATTGAAAATCCACAAGTAACACTGCGGGGCGCAGCTAGTTTATAATAATGGTAAGCGTATATACCACATTTTCAGCTTAGATTACATTAGATTTTGACATATTTCTATAATTCAGAATTCGTACATATATTCAAGCTGTTCTTCTTCGCCATATTTACCACACGGCCGTCTGATTCAGAACTAATCAGAGCTTGTACTATAGTAACCAGACTTCTGATAAACTTACTTGTATATTCCTAAATATATACATATTATATGTGGATAAATTACACCCAGATACAGAACAAAAGATAGTGCTCATCAGAAAATGATTTGTCTTGATCGGCTTCCACCATATCCTTCAATTCAGTGTGTCTTCCAAGTGGTTCGTTCTTCAAGTCGACGTTACCATTACAAATGTGTTTCAACCAAAAACGCACTTTGCGTTCATTAGCAGTCTCCTCTCCTAACGCAGCGTTGATATTATTAAAAAATGACTCGGATTTTTCGAAGTATCCATGTCAGCTTAGACTTGAAAGTCTTAGCTCATTAAAAAAAACAATTGAAAGTCTAAAATTGAATGTTGCACATTTTTTTAAAGAAGAACCTCATAGCTATAATGTGAAAACAGTTTCACACGAAATACTCACACCGTGAAGGTTTTATGTCAGTTCAAAGTACCTATTACACCTAGTACCTAGTATACAACGGCAATTTTATACTTTAACCCTTATTATTTGTCTTGGGTGGGTATAGAATCCAAGACCTCTGGTTAAGCAATCAGGATCACTAAACATTAGACCAACAGGCTAGATATCCCATCGTCCAAACCGATCATCCTGTCACTTACTCTTACACTGCATACATTACGAACTTACTTTCATGAACACTCCAAAACCTTATCTAATATTATAGGCCACCGCTGGACATAAAACTATCCACAATTCATTTATACTTCAAATAAACCAGCTGGTTTAAGATACTTTTGGCCTGCCCCTCTCGTCACATCAGTAATATCAACAACCTTGTAATTGAATTACATACGGCGATATATTTTATCCAGAATATTCGGATCAATTCTGTAGTACGAAAGACCTATTCGGTATTTAGGTCATCAATACTTAGTGGTGAGGATCTCCAGGGAGATGACAATTGTTGTATTATGTTCAATGAGCCGTAGTGCGCCGTTATTAAATTACTAGAATACTTTACGTTAGCAGTATGACATCTATAATCATTACAATAAATATATATAACCGGTTCATATTTGACCCTTTTTTAATATTAAGTGCATAAAACCAAAATCGTTAGTGTGCTAAAATTATTTAGTAAAAAAACCAAGTAGGTAATTTCAGAGTAAAATCAACGTTATTTTTAGACATTTTGTGGAGGTGGCGATTTAAAGATATTTTCGTTAAATTTCTCTTCATATTCAAACAGACTAATTATATCAAAACTTAGAACTTTGAATCTGTTTACTCGCACATGTAATTCGTATAACTACCACCTACCTTTATGTTAGTCTCAGTAGCCCCAAAACTTATTTAGAACATCAATTCGTGTTTCATTTTTTGTTGTGTTTCAATGTAAAATAATAATATAAAATATGTTACTATCAGATTTCAGAAACTTTTTTAAATTAATAATTTTGATAAAACAAGAGTAACACTTTCACACATATCAGGATTTTATTATCATAATCAGCTCAGACGAAAGACGTCCACTGCTGGACATAGGCCTCCCCTAAGATTCACCACAATATCAAGACATGATAAAACAAATAAAAAATACAATACTCGCTGTCCGATGCGAAGAAAAAAAGAATAAGTCGAAACAGAAGCATCTCAGTGCAGCTGTCTATGGTTCTGTGGCATTAAACGTTTGTTTTCAACTACAGTCAACCAATATTAGTATAATCGCCCCCTCCAATAATAAGGGGGAGGGAGAGAGGGTTTCCTATATGTTTTAGTTGTTCAGGTTTTCCTCCATAGTGTGTAGAGGTGTTCAATGAACACCTAGCGATCTTACATAGGATTCATTTCCTTTTAAAAGTTTCCACTGTTGCTCTACTGTTCAATTTGTGAAAAAAATATCGTTTAAATTAACATAATTCTTTTTTTTGCTAGAACTTGATTCAGTATTATTACAATCATTAAGTTTTTATTTTATTAACTTGGCTCTAAGTACTATCATTTTTTATCTTATATTTTGATGTACTGCATCCCCAGATAGCTATTAACATCGAAGATTGGTGTAGCATGTCGCTTTTATTGGTCCCATTTGTCTATGTAAGGTCTGGGCGAGGAGACAATGAATATTAAAACAAAATTGTAGCATCGCATGTACTGATTTATTTTGTTAATATTAATATTTCTAATATTATCGTGAGTAATTTATTTTATTACTATTAATCAGCTCTAGTATGCTGCGTCTCACAAAAGTAATAAATGTGCGCTGTTTCTGCAATTTTTCATTAATGTTTGGCTCCTATCGGTCGTAATGTGATGTTATATAGTCTTCCTAGATAAATGGACTATCTAACACTGAAATATTTTTCGATTCGAACCAATATGCAATAATACCTGAAATGAACATACGATCTCTTCAGATTTTTTAAAATTATACTTTGTAACATAGTTTTTTTTGGATTGTAGAGCAAAGGAACAGACGGTTCCTCTGATGGTAAGTGACTATTACAGCCCACGGACACCTGCAACCGAAGAGCAATTCTTTTAAATATCTAATTAAAAAAAAAACGTGTTGCAATTTTGTATTAAACTATTTTTTTTTTAACTAAGCAAAACTCTCAGTATAATTATATTCCCTATCAAAAATAATCCTAATTAGACACCTATTTTTTTAACTTATCAAAACGTAAGTATATCAATCACACTAAACCAACTTTCTGGAACTGGACGACATATGGCACATAGATATATTAAGCATCTAAGCAGTCTAGAATAGCATAGAAACTACTATTTATTTTTTACGAAATTGACATTTACGCGAGCGAAGCCGTTTGCAAAATCTAGTTACAAATAAAAACCTTTTGCTTAGCTGGATAATACTATCCCAACTGTACCTCAATACTCGTACATTCAAGTAAGTAAAGTAATTCCAGCCGCCAATGGTGGCCCTTATGTCGAACAAACAAACTGTCTCCACCCAAGTGCTATTGAGTTCTTCAGATTGACATACAACACTTCACGTGTACAACTTCGTGCTTGAAATCTTTAACAAACTAATAGAACTAAGAGTTTTACTTCTAGTAAATGTTTTCTAAATAGCTTTTTCTAGAATTGTGACATTACACAATACTTTTAGTGAGCCTGTTTATTTCTGAATAATTTTGTGAAGACTGATTTTCAAAAAGTAGCATTAGGGTTCCTTAGATGTCTTAAAACTATATTCATTTAAAGAACAGAGCAATTTATAGGACTAAGAAATCTTGTTAAACTTTAAAAGCGTTGTTTGTGAAAAGATTTACACCGCATCACATTATCATATCATCAGCCTTTCATAATCTACTGCTGGACATAGGCCTCTCCTAAGAAACAAGTTTTTCGCCTACTATACCACTATATCCATAATAACTATGAATATCCATATTTTTTGTGTATACCTACACAAATAAACATTATATACATAATTTAAATAAAAAAAGTTATTTTTTTATTTCATTTCAGATTTATTTCAACACGAGGCTCAGAAGATAATTTATTCGACGCACTGTAGGGCTAATTAGACGCCTACGTTAGGTATAGATACAAATTTATTCTTCAAATTAACATTAAACTGTTTTGAAACCTACAAAAATATGTATAAAAATATAATATAATGTATATAAAATATAATATATATATGGTATTCACAAGTCTTAAATTACTCAAAAAAATTATAATATTTTGTATAATAACTAGAACACGAACGTTCAACGTTACATATTATATTTTAAAATGTTTGTTTATTAGTTACACTATCACGCCTGGACTACTTAACCGAGCATCGTAAAATTTTACATATATTTACTTTATTTGAAAATTCTAAAACGAAAAAGTTGTCTGCAGTACTTCCGGACTGACAACCTTGAAACCTTATACCAACCCGTCTGGCCAACGTAGTATAGTAGTCCAAACTCTCCTTTCTAAAAAGAGGCTTATGTCCAGCAGTTGACTTGAAAAGATTGTTGATGATGATTGTTGAAGGCCGCCGACTTACCTGTGACTCTTTCATTTGCAGATGGCTATTGGTGGCAATGGTCACTTATTAACAAATAAAGTTAGTAAATTCACCTCCAAATGAGAATATTACACAGAAAGACTTTCAACCAGGGAAAGCCGTTCTTCAGCATATGAGCCAGGCTCGACTCTCCGGTTCGGCGATACCAGTATTTCATTCGTTCCTGTGAATGAAATTACTGGTTCCCAACACTCGCTCCCGCGCTGATTCTGAGGGAGGAACTCAAACTGGTGAATCTTGACTTGCAGGTTTCTATGGATTTCGGTAGTCACTTAATATCAGGTTCCTCGTCTGTTCAGTCAGTTCTATGCTATAAAAAAACAAATATTCACGAATATGTAGAACTTCACATTACATATTTATCAACTCAAGATTCAAGATCTACACGGTTAATAACTACTGAGCATTTTTATTTATATTAATTAGTTTGTAGTTATGTTATGTATATTTATGTTCATTATTCAAAAAACTACTCATTTAAGTGCAAAAATCTTTGTTCATTTTATTTTTGGAACTCGAGTGTTGAGCATTGTGAAATAGGACGAATCGTGATGTGACTTAACAAATGAAACACGCAATTAAGTTATGACAAATCTTTTACAAATTGTAGAATGCAATCTACAATTTTTAAGTATCGATTTCTGCACGGGCTAAAAAATCACATTTACTTCACATCATCAACAGCCTTTAATAGTTCACTGATGAACATAGGCCTCTCCTTAGAAAGTAGCTTTTGGCCTACTATACCACACTGGCCAGACGGGTTGATATAGGCTTTGTTCAAGTTTACCTTCTCTTTGCAGTGCTGTTGTCCTGCGTTGTTTTGCTCTTATGACACCCAATGGATGAATAGCGGTAGTGCCATTTCGTATTCTTAATCCGCCACTACACGGACAATACTTACTTAAAAAATATTTAAGTTTGTTTAACCGTGTTATAAAACCTATATTACAATGACAAGCTATGCGAGTTCTGATTCAGAAGAAATGGGGTTATTGACCCTAAACAAAATTTGGAAAACTGCAGCAAGGTGATAATGATAACTCAAATATTTACACATAAACATATTCATATTTACATATTTTTCCACTGAGTATGAATCACCAATCATCATCATCATCAACAGCCTTTAATAGTCCACTGCTGGACATAGGCCTCCCCTTAGAAAGGAGGTTTTGGCCTACTATACCACGCTGGCCAGACGGGTTGGTATAGGGTTTGTTTCAAGTTTTCCTTCTCTCTGCAGTGTTGTTGTCCTGCGTAGTTTTCTCCCTTAGTAGGCTCTTACGACACCCACGGGATGAATAGGGGTGGTGACACTCTGTATTCTTAATCCGTCACCACACGGACATGTATGGATAAAAAAATACTATTCTATATTCTAAATATAATACTTTACGTTATCAGTTACAAATAGATTTTTATTTCTTGTTAAATCATTCTGTAATCTTTCCATTGCACCAAACTAAATTGCCAAGCAAAAAGTTTGCTTAAAACCGCCTTTAACCAGCTTTTTATGAACAATGTTAGATTTTTTTGCCTTTTTGATATATGTTAATATGCTTCGAACAACTCATAAAGTACCACAAATGAGTTGTT